TACATGATAAAATGTATAATTCAAACACATTAAACATGTGCCCGTTGGCTGGCTGCGAGTAAATGTCTGCGCCCGTTGACTCCCGGCGAGCAAGTGACTGCTCCCGTCGGCTGCCGGCGAGCAAGTGGCTTCCCGGCGCATGCGCTTGCACAGGGAAGCCACGTGCTCGCAGGCGGCCAATGGGCGCGCCCCGCCATCAGATCCACCGCTGCTCGTGAGCTATTTAGAATAATTTGAATATATAGTTTTAATAATTGATTTATATATTTTTTAAAATAGCCTATCGTCATCCTCGTTTTTTTTACCTATGTATGGAAATTTTGGTTTGTATTAGTGAACTACTGCGAATTTGTATACCGGACATACAGACCAACCAACAGACAAACATACAAACATTCATTTTTATATATATAGAAGATATACAGGGTGTACCAGGTAAATTGGGACTAACTTTGACAGTCCATAAAACAAAAACTACTTGAGATTAAAAACTTGTTTTTTTTTTATTACGTAGCCATATTCATGTAAAATGCAACAGTACATGTGTGCGCAGTGTAGTGATGAAGAGTAACCGAGAATTTGAAAATCGAGCTGCCATCATCGTTGCTCTGCGCGCCGGAAGGAGCCCCAAAGAGATAGTGGATTTTCTTAAGTTGCCCAAAACCACTATTTATCGTGTCAAGAAGCAGTTTGATGAGGCCGACAGTAACAAAGAGGGGATAGCTACAAGGAAAAAGCACTCGCGTCGATCGGACAGGGTAAGAGGCGAAGAATTTGTCAAAAATGTCAAGGAGAAGATTGATGGAAACCCTGGGAAGAGCATGAGGGCCATAGCCAAGGAAATGGACGTTGGCTCTATGACAATTGTCAGAACTATCCATGAGGACCTTGGTCTCAAGTCTTATGCCCTTCGGAAAGGTCAGTTGCTGACTGAGAATATGAAGAATAACAGAAAAGGAAAGGCTGCTGCCCTCCTCAACAACCTGAAACACGACTCTTTTGGCATGCTAAGGTTCTTCTCTGACGAAAAGAACTTTGACGTGGACCAAAAGGTAAATCCCAGGAATGATCGCTGGATCTGTAAAGACCCCTCAGAGATACCTGTCGTGATGCACACGAAATTTCCTGCCTCCGTAATGGTCCTTGGCGTTATCAGCAGTGAAGGTGATGTCATGCATCCCCATTTCTTTGAGAAGGGCCTTAGGATGAACGCTGACACCTACATCAATGTTCTGGAGACCGTTGTGAAGCCTTGGATGGACATAGTGGCCGCAGGAAGGAAGTATGTCTTCCAACAGGACTCAGCTCCAGCCCATAAGGCAAAAAAGACACAATCGTGGCTGACACTTAACGTCCCTAGTCACTGGGGTCCTGATATTTGACCCCCTAATTCTCCAGATTGCAATCCCCTCGACTACTATGTATGGGGCGTTGTTGAGAGAGATGTCAACAAAGCTCCTCATACCACCATCCAGTCTGTCAAGAAAGCAGTTCACACGGTGATGACCCAAATGGACAAGGTCATCGTCGCCAAGGCCTGTGCTTCATTCCGCACTCGCCTCGAGACTGTTGTAGCTAATAATGGAAACTACATTGAATAAATAAAAACTATATCCTTTTATCTACTACTGTGTCAAATTTCATTCGGATATTTTAATTTTTACTTGCAAAAAATTTCAGTTAAAATATCATTGTTGAAATTCCCAATTTACCTGGTACACCCCCTGTATATATATATGAAAAAACAATTGAAAAAATAAAAGATAAGTGGGTCAGGTGTTGATATTAAAAATAAAGAAGGCATCTCCTGACCACGAGCACATGTGCTTTTTAGATGGCAGAGCGCCTAATTACAGCCTACTCTACGCTGACGAGCGCCAACAGCGCGAAACGCGTTCGTGGATGGCTTTTCTTGATTTATCAAGAAATTGGGTTGGCCAAATATCACGGAGCAAGCTAAATAAACGTTTAGTTTATTTTTGCTCCACTAGACAAGGCCAGTTAGGCATAAATTAACACAAAGCAATAACGCGCCATCTATACATATAAAATAAAAGTACTTAAAAGCGCGAATGTTTCTTTTAAACATAATACAAATTTATGCTGTCCTTACTGCGATCAAAAAATATATTGGGAGGGCTTGGCTCATCAGTGGTGAACCCTCCCAGCGGTTTCGCCAATTTAATCCACCAGACCGCTTCTCAGAGCTCTAATACTGTATTGGATCATTCTGCTTTTATATGCTACACTGAAGGATGGAATCTTATAAATGGGTTTCAAGTAAACTATGGACATAAGCTTATAGGACAGTAGAATTACATTTAATTATTTGCATCGAGCAATGCTCTTCAGCAAACAATAAAGACAAGGCCAGTTAGGCATAAATTAACACAAAGCAATAACGCGCCATCTATAAATATAAGATAAAAGGATTTAAAATCGCAGTAAGGACAGTAGAAATTTGTATTATGTTTAAAAGAAAAATTCGCGCTTTTAAGTCTTTTTATTTTATATGTATAGATGGCGCGTTATTGCTTTGTGTTAATTTATGCCTAACTGGCCTTGTCTTTATTGTTTGCTGAAGAGAATTGCTCGAAGCAAATATTTGAATGTAATTATACTCTCCTATAAGCTTATGTCCATAGTTTACTTGAAACCAATTTCTAAGATTCCATTCTTCAGTGTAGCATAGAAAAGCAGAATGATCCAATACAGTATTAGAGCTCTGAGAAGCGGTCTGGTGGATTAAATTGGCGAAACCGCTGGGAGGGTTCACCACTGATGAGCCAAGCCCTCCCAATATATTTTTTCATCGCAGTAAGGACAGTATAAATTTGTATTATGTTTAAAAGAAACATTCGCGCTTTTAAGTCCTTTTATTTTATATGTATAGATGGCGCGTTATTGCTTTGTGTTAATTTATGCCTAACTGGCCTTGTCTTTATAGTTTGCTGAAGAGCATTGCTCGAAGCAAATATTTGAATGTAATTCTACTGTACTATAAGCTTATGTCCATAGTTTACTTGAAAACCATTTCTAAGATTCCATCCTTCAGTGTAGCATATAAAAGCAGAATGATCCAATACAGTATTAGAGCTCTGAGAAGCGGTCTGGTGGATTAAATTGGCGAAACCGCTGGGAGGGTACACCACTGATGAGCCAAGCCCTCCCAATATATTATTTCATCGCAGTAAGGACAGTAGAAATTTGTATTATGTTTAAAAGAAACATTCGACTTTTAAGTCCTTTTATTTTATATGTATAGATGGCGCGGTATTGCTTTGTGTTATATATATATATTAATTAAAAAGGCATATATTGGATCAAAATATCATTTATTTTACCAATATTTCAGTTGGCTGAACGCCAACCTTTATCAAGGTGTTATAACATTTTAAAGTGTGTCAACAACAAACTCAGCGCCACATAACGTCAACCTATATATATATAACTTTATATATATAACCTATATGTATAACTTAAATAAGGCTTAGAAGGGTTGTCTTTCTAGACCCTTTCGTATAAAACTGGATAAGAGAACCCTATCAAGAACCTGTGAGATCTGGCCGCAGTCTTGGATGAGAGGATGCTAACAATAAGTGGATCAGATAGATTTTGGCTCAGATCTGCAAGTACAATACAGAAGTTGGTACTTCACGAGAGTATAGTCTAGGTTTAAGAAAAGTTACTATCTGCCGTCAGCACTGAAGATATCTGCGTAAAACAATGGGTTAGCAATTGAAAGTAGCTAGGGGCTTCGTTCTCTTTGGTCGGGGTCTGCCGCTCTTTTATATAGTATAGTGTCGTACGTACACAAGACGTGTACTATAGATAGGTACACAATATGGGTACTATAGAGATACATGGTGAGCAGCAGCCCCCTTAACAGCTCCACCACGAGAAGGTAGAGAACATGGGATCGCCTGAAACATACGGGTTAGACACGTGGAGCCTTCCATCATTGTGCGAGAACCAGTTTCGAATGTTTGACACCCGCTCTGATCTCCCTTATCGTACTTAAGCCCATATGCCCGCTCGTACTCGACTGTGGCCAGATTCATCTGAAGAGAGTCTCGACACCACAGTCTTGCGTATATGGTAAAGCTGGGCCTCGTTCCTCAGGGCTGAGGGGTCATTCTACTAATGGTTGGCTCTCAGGAAGTATCTCCCAAAACTATAAAAGGGGTAGAGTATCAATGGCGGTCATCTATGGCGTCTAGTTTTGACGTATATTTCGACGGAAGAGGAGAGCTTTGTCTCTTTAGATCAATTTACCCCCGGCAAAATTTACATCTATATTTTAGCCATAGATTTGTCCCAGCCACTTTTCCAGCTAAACACCTCTTTGGCAGATTGTCAAGATTCCATTATATCCCGTGTGGAATATGGAATAAATTCCGGCCTAGGCTGACGAGGGCCATTAGCCCGAAACCATGGTCTCTAGGTGGACGTTTTTCAATTTGCCAAAGCTGGTGTTGTCGCTTTGTCACCGACCTGAGGCCGCTAGTTGCGGCGACGGTCAATAGATGGCGTCTAGTTTTGACGTCTATTTTGACGGGAGAGGCAACCTTTGTCTCTTTAGATCAATATACTCCCGGCAAAATTTCATCATTCATAGTTTGTTCTTGCATTAAATAAATTGCCGTGTCATCCTTATGTTTATCTTTCCTAATTTTCTACCTAACAATATAATCATATAAATTAGCTTATGAAAATATAAACGTGACTACTACAAGATGGCGAAGAGCCTAGACAAATATAAACATGGCTATTACAAAATGAAACCGACTTTATTAAAAAATATATAAATAATATAATTGCCTTATTCTGTCTGTGTGAAGTTCACGGATAGATTTTGGTCATCAACGCGCGCATCATCATTATGATCATTATCATTATCTAATGATAATTATTATTATTATCTACTTATATAATTGCCTTATTCTGTCTGTGTGAAGTTCACGGATAGATTTTGGTCAGAATGGATAAAATAAAAAAAGTGTCAAGGGATGGGAATCGAACCCACGACCTTCCGCTTACCGGGCAGATGCCATGAGCACTAGGCTACCCTGGACATATTTTTCCGTTCATAAAGTTAATATATGACGCCAATATATATAATAATTGTATAAACTAACGCAAGACAAAATCACCGCGAATGTTTCTTTTTTTTAAGGCAATTATCGTTTTGCACAATTACTTAATCTTTTAAAATAAATAACAATACTTAAATGAAAATATGTTTCTTTAAATAAAATAAAATAAACTTTTAAATCGGTAATTATATTAAAACTATATATTCAAATTATTCTACTTAGCTCACGAACAGCGCCCTCTATTAAGGTTATAAATACGTTTAAAATCGAAATCTTCTCAAAATTTTATTAATAATAGTGTTCGCTTAATAATTAGAATACTTGATCTAAATCGAAATATTTATAGACGCTCGCTCGATTTGAAGATTTATATCGTAACTAATCTGACTGTAAAGTTTGGAGCGGGACGTTTCACAAGAGTGACATCCACGGCGCCAATTTATAATTGTAAAGAATAGTGTTTGAATAAAACATTTAATCGGGTAAACCCGGGCGTTGACCGGGTCATTCGTCTAGTATAAATATATTTGAATAAAATGTGTATATCTCACTTATACCTTTATACATATTTGTTGAAATAAATCCTCAATAATATCTATAGATATCTCCAATCGTAAAAGGGTTTTTTGCCTTGTTTAGCACATTGTGTGTTTTCACCATGTCTCAAAATATTAATATATATATATATATATATTATATATAAATTTTCAATGCAATTTTCTATTTTGTCATCATCACATTAAAAAGGTATAAAAACAAATATAAAATGAATAAAAATATAGAAATATCATTGTGGTTGAATAAAGTTTAAGTGGACAAAATATATATAATAATAGCCGAATGACCCTGGCAATTCCTGGGTTTTATCCGATTAAATGTTTTTATTCAAATACTATTCGTTACAATTATAAATTGGCGCCGTGGATGTCATTCTTGTGAAACGTCCCGCTCCAAACTTTGTGTCTGAGAAGCGATATTTTTATAAAGAGATGATCTGAAGCCCTGGAGGTTGTAGCTCTGTCGCGAAAACCACTCAGCCTGTCCCCCCGCTGCTCTGCAGTCTCTGAAGCCCTGGAGGTTGTAGCTCTCTCTCGCTTAGCCTTTAGCCTGGCCTCACGCTGCTACTCTGTCTCTGAAGCCCTGGAGGTTGTAGCTCTCTCTCGCGTAGCCTTTAGCCGGGCCTCACGCTGCTGTTCTGTCTCTGAAGCATGCGAAACACTGAATCTCTCCCGCAGATTAGCAAGTCTACGCTCTCTTTCTATAGGCGTTTCGTTAGCACGTTGTTGTTTCCTTTTTTTTAGCCTCTGCTTGGCAGTGGCCAAAAGCCTTGCGTTTTTAGGAGGCATTCAGCTTTCTGAAAAAAAAAAACAACTGTAAAGCAATGATACAACACAATCTGAATTATATATATGTTGCCTAGAAATTGAGATAAAAGCTTCAAAAAGGAAAAGGTTAGGCATGAAAATGGTAGTCATTAAAAAATATATGTAAAATTTCTGCAAAAGAAGAATACTCCGCATATAAGCTATAAAAATTTCGATATTAAATTTAAAAATTGAATGAATAACTAAATGTAATATTTTTTAAACAAAATGTAAATTTAAAAAAGAGGATATATAAATATATTAAATTTGAAGAATAGTTATATATATCGTACATAGATGGCGCCACGACTTAGGTCATCGGACCATTACTTCGCATTTTCCCCGCTAGAGGCACTACTTTCCAGATAAAGGGGAAATTTCCACGCAAATTTGCAAATAACTCGAAAAATATTCAATATAGAGACCTTTTTAAATATTCACTATAAGTTTTTCAATAGTTAACTCTATATACTGTTAAAATTTCAGTCAGATTAGTTACATATTGTGGACGTGTATAGCCGACATAGGAACAAACACACATACATACATACACTGACTTATATATAGAGAGAGAGATTTGCTGGGTTATAAATTGTAATACACAAAAATATATATATGTCATAATTTGTATATAATTGTATGCACCCCCGACCCACTATGCATGTACAATGTATGATTTTCAAAGATTTAATAAAGAATAAGGTAACTGGAGGAAAGAAAGTAGCAACAAGACATAGGAAGCAGGCAGTAAAGCGGGCACAAGTATAAATAACTTGTACAGTCAATACTTCCTGACAGGCCGGACGTATCTGGTGACCGCAAAAGTTATAAAAGTAGAGAGACGCCCAATATTTCCGGACAGGACCGGACGTATTTGATAACCGCGGAAGTAATAAGAGTCGAGCTCACACCCAATACTTCCTGACCAGGCCGGGCGTATCTTCCACCAAAGAAAGCCGCCGGTCCAATTAGGAAGCAATAACTAAGTAGGTCAACCAATAGAAAAACGGGCACGTTCCATCCTTCGACCAATGGGAAAGAAGACAACTCGTGGTGTTAAATCGAGAAGCAAGAATTGTCAGTGTGCTTTGGCTCCCAAGGAGGTGACATCTGCTCTGGACCTCTCTCCCTCTGCTCATCCCGTAGCTAAGTACAATCACCACCATGTGATCAGATAATTAACAATCAAAACCCGCTCCGCCTTCTCAAGCTTTCTTTCCTCCAATCCAGTTGCCTTTTATTTTCAAACCCCATCACGTGTCCTGATTATTCCTAACTGTATGCTTCACTTGCCACTCAACGACTGCGTTTCAACCAATCCTCACCATTCAAATCGAACAACAAGAAATTCCGCAACGATATTGTCACAGAACGGTTAAGTCGACAGGATAAAGATATTATGGAGCTTAATCAGGATCCCATAGGCGTAAAGTCGGACGGCCCGACGGAAACAACGGAAAGAAGGCAAGAAGTAAGAGAGACGGGCGAGACAACTGCGCCCCTAGGGGACGCCGTCACCCAGCTATCGGCGCTCCTGACCCGAGTAAAGATTTCTGATGGAGCTGAGGCGACAATCGCGCTTTTCGATGGAACATATAGCGCGACACAGTTTTTCCAAGCGTTCGACCGAAAAATGGAAGACGCATCCATGGGAGAACAAGAAAAATTACTCCGCCTGCCAAACTATCTGGTGCGACAACCCCTGGAGCTCTTCAGGAAACTTCGGATGGCCGATCGGAGCTATTTCCAGGTGAGGCAAACCCTCCTAGATCTCTATCCTGAATCAAGCGAAGCGTCCTTTGCGAAATATTTCGCCATGAAACTCACTGGACAAGCCAACTTAGAGACCTACTACCGGGAGAAAACCGCCATGGGATTGCAACTAGGACTCCCGCAGGAGGTAATTCTCGAGACGCTGACAGAAGGGCTGCCATTCAACGACCAGCGTCTAGTCCGCGTGGTGCCTCCCGAGAACCTAGGAGAGTGGTTCCGATTGGTACAGCGGATCCACGGGCCCAGTGTACCGACAACGCGACTCAGAGAAGATCAACCACCCACAATGTCGGATCCGTATCACAGCCCTCCCCGACGCCCAGGTGCATGGAATGCACCTCTTCCGCCGTCCAACTGCAAGTTCTGCGGCGCGAGGCACTGGCACAGCGAATGCCGACATCGAGCAGTCCCGAGCCCCAAGCCAACCAACCCAAGCCAAGACGTCCCAGCCGAGCAGCCCTTTCGAGACTAAGGTAGGCACCCCCCTATGGCGTCAAGAATTGACTTTGAACTCTTATCAAACCCTACCTACCCCTTTAACCATGTATCTAAACATGTACCAAATGAATGCAAGCACGGGCTAGACCAAAACCTGTCCCAAAGGGCTCGTACAGCACACAAAGCTTTCACACATGGAAACCCTTGCCTGCATTCATTGCCCAAACCCCAAATATTTACATGCCACCATTCTAATCTCACACCACGCAACTTTTCATGCCCACAACATATAAAGCCACCACGACTTCAACCTACAATTCCAATAATGCCCAAAAAAGTGTCCGTACACCGACACAGCTCACCCACTTACCACACAAAATCCATACATGACCATACGTCGCCACACCATAACCACGCAAATGTACCTCACAACATACACGCACCCATACGTCACCACGCAACAAACACGCACAATCCGCACAACAAACGCAACACGCGCGCCAAAAGACAACAACAACCAACAAGCGCATGCACAACCGTTAAGAATAATACAATCATCCCGTCTACACAAAACATAGAGAAAATTCACGCCACCAAACAACCACACAATCGAAAAACATTGCGATCTTTCCTAAAAGCTGTGAACGCCTATAAAGAGTTCATTCCGGACCACGCCCGCTTGCGGACGCCACTTGTCAACCTTCTAAAAAGGATGTCATGTGGGTCTGGAGTGACGAATGCCAGAAAGCGTTCACTAACCTGAAAGAAAGCCTTACCACACACCCCACATTATACCTTTACCAAGAAGGTCTGCCATGCCAGGTGCACTGTAACACCTCAACATTCGGCATTGCAGGCATTCTTAAACAAGTCTACCCTGATGGGAAGACATACCCAGTTCAACATTTCAGCCGCTCTCTGCGTGGTCACGAGCGAAATTATTCAGACTTGGAACTACAATGCCTAGCCATTGTGGAAAGTGTGGATAACTTCCGCGCCTGTCTAATGGGCAGAAAGTTTACAATACTTTCTGACCATCCTGCATTGCAGTGGTTGAAAGAGATCAAAGCCCCGTCAGGCAGATTGTTTCGATGGAGGTTAAGACTGTCAAGATACGAATATGAGGTCCGTAGCATAAAGGGAGTACAACAATTTGAAACGGGCGTTGTAACTCGTATCCCATTTTGTGGCTTTCTAGATGCGCCACTCATAAAGAGCCAACAGTCTTCTCCACCGGGAAAATCTCGCGTGACTATGGATCACAATAAACTGCGCACCGTCTCCCGAAAAGGAGTACTTAAAACTATAGTCCCAAGTTCACTTACAGCCAGACTTCTTAAGTCCGTACACACACAACACCACCATCCAAACATCTCCAAGATGACGAGACTCATCTCGTCACAA